TTAAACTTTGACGTGTGCGTACGTGAGTCCTGAGGGTGCGTGAAGGCTGAATTTGAAATCTTTGGAATAGACGCGGCCAAGGAACAATTCTGTGAATTTCCAGCCTTCTAGCATGGCCGTTCCCGAAAACGCTTTCCCGCCAAAAAAACTTTCACGTGCCCCTACGTGAGAACCATGCGAATCTGAGCGTCCATTTTGAGGGTACGAGCCCGCACGCATGTGTAGATTAAGCCACCAAATTTTCAGCCTTGTAGTTTTTGTGGATCTCGAGATGAAAACTCGTTACAGACGCGCACACAGACACACAGACACACACACATACAGACAACCCCTCGACAATATGCGTTTTTGCATTGCATAGATGCAAAATAAGCATAAAAAATAGTACATCCTGAGAAACGTAAGGGTTAACCAGGATATCTAACAATAGAATTTAGTCAGTGCAATGCTAAATTTGGCTATTGTATTAAATTCACTGTGTACTACTAGATTACTCTTAGAGGCGAAAATTCAATGATAGTGCGCTATTAGATGCTTGTTCAAACAAAAGAGGCATAAAATTGGGAAGGGACACCAAAAGAGAGACGCTACTTTCAGACGTCACTGGATGCTCCACTGATGCTAGAAGGCATAGAGAGATAATATAATGAGTGCTATTGTGTTATGGCTAGAAAAGTCGGACACAGTTGCAGCGTGATCATTTCGGCATGATCAGCATGTCATAGCACATTGATGCGTCATGCCGGTCAATGTGCTGTGACATGTTGCTCGTGCCGTAGCTGTGCCGGACCTGGCACGCGCCACAAAGCGCTCATAGTAGGTTATACAAAGAGCTCCCTTTGCCACATTTCTCACTGTTACTGTTGGTCGTTTTATCTAATACGTTTTCCTTCTCCGCCTCGCCTTTGAAGCAACAGATTCGGCCAAAGGTTACAACAGTGTTGCAGCTAAAAAAAAATGAAGTAAATGATATCTCAGAAACCAAAAAAATGTACATCAACCAATTTGCAGGAACATGGCAGTACTTTCTGGATGAGCTAGGAGCGTATTTGAACTACTATTCCGACTTGGCATTTTTTGCTGGTGCTGCTTATGATCAAGTTGGTGACGGCGTGCGCGATAATGATGTCGTTAGGTCTGGATTTGCCTTGGTTTAGCGAGAAATCAGAGTTAAACACTAGAACTCTCTTCATATATCTTATTCATTGTGAGAGGTGGAAGCCCTATCTCAAGCAGTTTAACTAGTAACCGTACTGGTTAAACTGCTGCTGGACGGCAGTAGATTAGAAATGATCCTTTTTTTTAAAATTTTTTTGTCCTTTCCATTATCAGTGCAGATTTGTGTATTTCAGCGCCGGAGTCCCATCGCATATATTTTTCGTTTTATTGCGTTGCCAAAGTGGAGCGCCAATTCGAGGGACCTTATGCAAAGATGTTCTCTTTCTTCCCTATATATTGCCAGTAGCTGATCGCAACTTAAATTGCTTGGTAATTTTTTTGAAAATCACAAACAAATTTTAAAAAAGTGACTTGTTTTTCAGACGGAAACGTACTGAATCGGCGTAAAGCATAATTCCAGATACAGAGTGAGTTTAAGGATTTAATGATGTTCTGTGAAGGAAAGCTGTCGGTTCGCCAACAGTGCTGACCTCCTTGTATGAGGAGCGCTGTATTAATTAGTAGCCTAATAAGGGACATATTTGCAGACGTCTCGTGAGTACCTTTTTGATAATACAGCTCGACTGCGCGACATTGAACTGCTTACTGGAATGCAATTTTTCACGGATCGCCAGATCTGGTCGACTTCAGAAGCACTCCAGCTGCGAACCTGGTTGCCTCAAAGTCTGTGGTCTGTCCAGTGACACACGTGTTTTAGAAGATGAATTATACATATTGCCTTAGGATGTTTGTTAGTGAAAATCAGCGGCTTCATAAAAAGTAGCAGAACCTTAGATTGTATGTTAAAGATGTACTTTTGCTATCTCCCACTTGCAAATTTAATTGGATTACAGTGTCGAGAAAGATTCCTTCCCTTGAAAAGTGATCCTGAATTGAACTGCGTGCATTTTTACTGAAAGTATCTTATTTTCGTTTATTCAGTCTGATAATTTCGCGAATTGACTTAAATTCCTCGTCATATTCGCTAAAATAGCTGAGATTAAGAACTCCTGAATTGCTTACTGTACTTAATGCGGATCTGCTCATGCATCTGCTCACCGCTGGGGTTTAAATGCTACGATTTCAGAATGTCACTCTCCTTTTACTTACCTTTGTAACAAATTCTAGCGTTTCAGCATTTTTCAGCACTTCTGCACTTGTTTTTTTTTTCATTTTTCAATGTAACTCAATTCAATCAGTAGAATTTTACCGTTGTTTGTGCCTTTTTACTGTGCAGCGCTATAGCGCTCCCACAACAAGCAAAAAATCATATTGTGCAGAGGTTTTCCGTATGTTTATGTTCTGAAGCAAGTGAATTTTGTCACCCACTTCTCAGCATTCAGGGAAGCTAGGAGGCTGAAATTTTGGGCGCATATCCCCACTTCATGTGTCATCCTCCCGTTTTAAAACCCTCGCTCACATGCGCCTATATTTCGCGTACATCCTCTTCAGACAATATGCAAATTTCTTTGGCGGGAAGCGATTTCGGGAACCAGACAAGATAGAAAGCTGAAACTTAGGATATTCTCTGTGCATCTATGAGCTAAAGATTTCAAATTCAGCTATCGCGTACCCCCTATCTCGCTTACGGTCACGCCAAATTTCGCAGCTGACAAAGCGCCAATTCGGAAACTAACGCTAAAACAGTAGCTGAAATTTTGCCAGAATATTTATCGTCTATCTGGGAAATCGAATACTCAAAACGAATTTTGACTTTCACTTGTACCACGACTTAGGGTACTTTAAAGGCATTCGAAGCAAAGAGGTTATTTTGCTTGCCAGTCAAGTTGAGAGACTTAACTTTGTAAGTACATTCTGTATTCACATGTGATCCAAATACAGCTTGGAGACTAAATTCCCTGCAGTAGCACAAGAGGAATACTCAGTTTTATCGCAAATTCAAAAGCGAGTGCGTTTTGCCGATTACGTAATCCTTCTGTTCCTGTGCATTTTCAAATTTTGCATCTTTCGATGAACGGCCGCTCTTCGTGATTTCATGTACAAAATTGGATTGAGGCGGGCCCATGATATAACACTACCATCCAAGCCTGTGTACGCAAGACATCATACCCAGGCTGGAACGCACCAGGCGAGCCGGTGCGATCATGCATTTTTGCAAAAAACTTGAATTAGGTCAACTGCATGAATGGTTTTTTTCTCCGCACCTACCTTGTGTGCTTAGTGCCGAAAATTATCGAAGATTTTGCATAAAGAGAAATCAACTACTCCCGTTTAGCGGTGTTTTTTGGAAATAATCCAACTGTTCAACGAGTAATTTTCCCGTCAGAAATTTTATTGCCCGTACACGAGAATCACGCGTAAATGAAGATCGAATTTGAAGATTTAAATTTTATTTGGACGGGGAACATTCTCCTAAAATCTGAGCCTCCCAACTTTTCTGGTCCTCGAATTAGCAATTTTCCCGCCAAAACTTTCACAGGGCCGCACGTGACCTAGGAGCTGGGTTTGAAGTTTTTAAGTTGTATGCAGGCTGAGAACATCCCTTTAAAATTTCAGCCTCCCGGCTTTTCTGGTTCCCGAGTTAGTCATTTGCCCGCCAAAAAAGTTCCACGGGGCCGTACATGAGAACCACGTATGACTTGGGATTGAATTTGATAGGTTTATGCCGTAATTGTGCTTAGAATATTCTCTGAAAATTTAAGCCTTCCTGCTTTTCTGGTACCTGAGTTAGCAGCTTTCCCCCTAAAACTTTCATACGCCCTTACGTGAGTACCACGCATACCTGAGAGCTGCATCTGAAATATTTAAGTTGCACTTGGACAGGGAATATTCCTGTAAAATTTTAGCCTTCTAGCTTTCCTGGTAGTTGAGTTAGCAATTTTCCCCCTAAAGCTTTCATACGCTCTTACGTGGGTACCACGCTTACCTGGGGCTGAATTTAAAATCTTTAGGCAGTACATGCACATGGAACATCCCTACAAGGTTTCAGCTCCTTAGCTCATGGGTTACCGAGATCGCCCTCCCGCAAAAAAATTTGCATATTTCTTTAAGGGGCCCGTACACGGCGCCCAGGCGTCCGCAGGGGATGATATT